AACGATGTTGGCGGTGGATAACGAGAACGCACTTTCCGTTCCAATGTAGACCACAAAGGTTCGAAATATTCAGGTCTGGTGACTGTGGTGGCCAGGGGAGATAGACAACTCATCCTCGTGCTCAGAAAACCAGTCCTGGACAATGTGAGCTGTGTGAGCAGGGGCTTTGTCGTCTTGGAAGAAACCATCACCATCGGGGAACAAAGTTTGTACCATGGGATGAACTTGATCGGCCAAAATGTTCACATAAGTCTTGGCAGTCATGTGCCCTGACACAGTTATCATGGGGCTAGCAGAGAACCACGATATGGCTGCCCAAACCATAACAGAACCCCCGCCATGTTTCACTCTTGGCAACAAGCAGTCTGTATTATAGGCTTGAGATGGCGTTCTCCAGACATAAACTCGGCCAGAAGTGGGAAATAATGTGAAAAAAGACTCGTCAGACCCTATTACTCGCTTCCACTGCTCTATAGTCCAGGCTTTATGACTTAAACACCACCTTTTCCTGTTACGGGCATTAGCATCGCTGATGAGTGGCTTCTTCATTGCAGCACGGCCAGCAATTCCCTGTTTATGAAGCTCCCTTCTAATTGTTTTGGTACTCACAGTGTTCGGCAACACAACATTCATTTCAGCAGTAACTTTTGCAGCTGTGGTCTTCTTATTTTTCGTCACAATTGCCCTTAATGATCGTCTGTCACGATCACTCGGGACACACTTTCGTCCGCGCTGTGATTTAGCAGATGATGTTTTTCCGCTTTTCAAATATGCGGAATAAATCTTCGATACAGTACCTCTTGAAACAGTAAACACCTCGGCTACCTTGCTTACGGAAGCACCTACCATACGTGCTCCAACAATTTGCCCACGTTCGAAGTCTGTTAACTCTGACATAATGCAATGACAACCTCACATAACAGTACTCCGACAACAACTGAACTGTTGAGCACATTTACGAAGTTGTATAGGTGGCGTCAGTAGTCAAAAACGTCAGCGCCACCTACATATTTCATTAAAATCAATCTTTCTTTTCAAACATGCATTTCACAAGGTGTTTCCATATTTTTGTCCATCCACTGTACGTTTTTGTATGGATATTTTACCGTTTCTTCTGCGTTTCAAGCTGAAATGTAATAAGTAGTTTTGTTTGTTTAGTAGTTTTGTAGTAAATTAAGTGAATGATATCTTGATATAGGTCATTAATCCGTTCCATATTTTTGGACGTGGACGTACACCGAACAAACGTTTAAAATAGTAATAAGGGAAAAATGATTCATTCTCAGAAAAAAAAATCCTATCGTTATTATAACTTTTCAGTCTTAAAATGCAAACGCATTGGGTCAAATATAAATTGAAAATAAATGAAGCACTGCATACTCCTATCCAGATGGAAAGCAAATTTTTGACATCTCTTTTTCATCTCTTTGACATCTCTTTGACATCATTTTTGATCGGGAATCGATTTCATCCCCTTCATAATGTTAGCCGATTGATTCTTCGTTTTTTCCATCTGTAGACACCAACACACTTCGCAGACAATATCCATATACAAGTTCGGTTGACGCATGTCAACTTCGTACTTTTCAACAATCTCTCTTTTCACCTCCATGGTGATCCTAACAATTTTCATCGTTGCTTCTCGGTAACATATCTAAAAATCAATGGTAATGAATTCACAAAGATGTAAGCCAAAAAGCACAAAATCACTCGAAAATTCAGAGATACAGAGTGGGATATGTTACTGAAGGGTAGCGACTCACAGAACTCGAGTAGTTTTGCAAACAAATGTCACACACCAAAAAAAGGTTTCGTTTCCAAACAGCACATATTTCAAAGCCGACGTATACCGAGGGAACATTTTAGTTCATTCTTATGGTAATAAATGATGATGTTTGTATATGTGGCATTTTATTTTAGTTAATCAGTTATTATGATTTTATCATTTGATTTCTCTTCTCCCTAGTCGACGCTTGGACGCTAATTAGATTGGAAATTATTAAAGTCGGGGTTTGTTTATGTTTTAGATATGGATTCGCTGCCAGCCTTCGTCTGGCTTTTAAATGTACCGGAAAAATGGCTGAGGGAAACACCAAACGTTAAATTTAAAAACTGCGTAGAATTTACTCTGCAGAACAACTTAATAAAAAAGTTATTACCTATAACAAAATTACAATGAAATAAGCTATATCCCTTAATACGAACTTTAATTATCCTAATAAATAAAATTAACCAATTTGCCTTTGAATAATTTTAAGAACTCAAATGGTATAAAAGAAGTTAAGAACTTTGTTTCCTAAAAAAATCACTCAAAACTTTTCAATATTCTAAAAACAGTGAAATGAGCAATAAATAACATAAAAGAATACAAAAAACAAATAATTTTGAAAAGCAAAGCTTAATTAATAATATGTTATCTTATATTTTCAAGAGATAAAAAATTACAATGAAATACAAATATTAATTATCCTAATAAATATTACACCTTAATAAATATTACATCCTAATAAATATTATACCTTAATACAAATATTAATTATCCTAATAAAAAAGTTCACCAACTTTTCGTTGAAGATAAAAAACCATGCAAAACATTTCAATATCTTACAAACAGTGAAATAAGCAAAAAATAACATGAAAGAGACTCAAAAAACATAAAATTCAAGAATTTAAATTTTTTTTTTAAAATACAAAATATTATCAGCTTTTCAAAATTTATGTTTGTAAAAGCAGTGGCAAAGATGAAAGTTTAACGTGTCCAAAAATCAAAGAAAAATAAACTGTACATTTTTAAAAATAAACGTTTTTAGAAAAAACCCCGTTGAAGAGGTGTTAAGTTCCCTTTGTTAAATAAATTCGTATTTAATCGATTTATTGAAACACGAAATTTATTTTAAGTTCGTAAAATAGCTAAGTGCCTACGTTTTATGGCGATGTGAAAATGGAGTGTGTAGAGTAAAATCTCGCTTTCCTATGGCCCATTATGTCTCAAAATGACGCGATTTCGTAACAAAACATAAAATAAAAAAAATTCGAATTCGAATTCTCGAAAAAATCTCTTCGAGGTGCACTGGCTCTTGCTAGATGCACATATGTACCAAATTTCGTAGCCGTGGGTCTATAAGCTTACACGCAACGCGAACGATAGACACACACACGCAGACATGTTTGTTTTATTACATGTTTATTATCTATGCTTTATTATCTCTTTGTTTTATTATATGTAGAGAAGAGATTATGTTTAGGATTGGATTCGATTATTTAATCACGGCAAAGCATACGAGGGCAACCCGCCTGAAGGGAGGAATACCTTCGTGGAGGACTTTCTAAGGGAAACTGGCTCGTATACACGTTACACATGGAGAAAACCACGAAAACACCTATGCAGCCAGCCCGTTCGCGGGATCGGAACCTCGGACCGAACTACCAGTGTTCAGCGTCTTTACCGCTCGGCCGCTGGTGGGCGGATTATGTTTAGGATTTTTAATGCTTTAGGTGTACATTTAGATTTATGCTTAACTTATATCCAAAAAATTTTAGAATATCATTCTACTGCTGTCATTCTGGTGAAACACAGCTCTTTGTTTCATTCTTTAATGACTATTTTTATTTTACTTTTATTAGTCCAAAGGGGCAATACGCCCTGAAGGATTATTAATTTCGTTTTGGCATTTTGCGTTACAAACAGTAAACGGCGAATCCCTTTACAAATTGTTGCCACAAAATATTACTGCCCTGTATTACATTTAAAGAAATTAAATAATGAAGAATCTGCATGAATGTATGTATGTTTCTCGCGTTTTTATAAAACAACGGTACCTATAGCCATCCAAATTTGAATAACGTAATCTTCCATAGAATAAGGGCATATGGAAGCCCTAATTTGAATTTGAAATTTATTGTATTATCGATTTCGCATTTTATAACACTTCAACGAATTTTTGATTAACAAACTAAACGATTTCAAAGCGAGCAATGGCAACACTATACGGAAAAAAAAAACACCTTTATCTCCCGCGCGCGAGAGACTCTGTATCGTAAATTCTAAAAAAATACTATGCTGATTTTATAATTATTTTGCGATACTGCTGTAAAACTCAATTTTATGGTTTGAGAATGTAGAACATGATATTTAGTAAATTAAGGTAACACACAAAAAGTAAAAAACGCCCTTTTGGACGTAATTTAAAACGCCTTTAGGACGCCTTTCAGATTTTTTTACATATTTATTTATTTTTTCAAAAATCATTTGTATTTAAAATTCTCAGAATTGCACACTGTTGTAGCAATTTATTTGTAGAAAGGAATGAAAATGTTTTATATGAGAATAAACCTTATTATATTTAACAACAAAACAAAACATTTGTGATATATTCAAAAATAAACTGAAATTCTTTTTGACAATGTTAAAATAAAAATACAATGTACTCAATCTTAAACAATCTATGAGTGAAATTTGTATCGAATAGTCTTTCGAATATCATTGTGATGTTGCCATTCCAGCAAACAATTCCTCTTTTATTCATGACTCGCAACTTTTACTTTTATTTATCGTCTGCAAGAAAGCATTTGTATTGTTCAATACATTGATTCCGTGAATTATCTTTATTTTATGAATATTCTAATTTAAAATAGCATTTACTTCTTGTTCGCTGCAAGCACCGGATTCATGATTAAATAATATAGATTTTAATAACTGTTTATTTTAGTTTTGAAAATTGGTCGGGATTTTAAATATTTAGACATTCATCTTGTTTATTTTACTGCAATGTGAAAATCATTTAATTGATAATGATTATCAGATTTTAAAACTGCACAATGTGATTGCAAATTTTTACTTGTTTTATTTATTCTAAACAGTGCATAACAGTAAACGAGATGCAAAATAAAAATCGCTTGTTTGTGGCGAAAAGTAGAAATCAGATTACTCAACTCTAGATTAAATCACCTTTCATAGCGAATGAAACTGTAAACAGCTACTGCCACGTAAGTTTTTATTCCGACTTTTGGATTGTTTGCGATTAAGAATTTGTAACTAATTTTGTATAATCCTTACTTCAGTAATCTTACACATTTCTGGCAAATATGCAACTGAAGTTACAGATTTAGATGTGAATATATTGTAAGTGTTTCTAACTTTATTTACTTTTGTTTTTAAGCCTGTTACGTTCGAAGGTGTTAAATTATTAAAATGTAAATAAATAGTGCTCACTCGAATTTGACAAGTTACTTAAATAATTCTGAATAAATTTAAAATAATTCGAATAATACAGATCGATGTTTAAAAAATTCGGATAATAATATAAATTTATATCAGATTCGAATATAATAAAGTTTCAAATAATAATGGGTATTTAAATAATTCGAATTTGATTAGGTATTTAAATTATTGGTACTCTTTTGTTATTGTGACCGGATTCAGAAATGTATGTGTGTATGTATGCATGTGCATATAGTATATGTGAATGTACATATATATACTCACATTTGTGTACTTACATATATATACGCACATGCATACAGTGTCTCACAAAAGTGATGGGTCACTTGTGCTTTACAAAAAAAAAACTGCAATAAAATAAATTTAAAAAAACATGTAAAATTTTTGGTGGGTGTGTTTCATACTTAAATTTAGTAACAATTATTACATAACCACACATTTTCTCACAAATATTAAAATATTAATTTAAATAAAAATACAATTGTTTAGAACGGAGCAAGAAAATGGCTCACTTAAGTGATTGGATACTCACGTAAGTGATGGGGCATTTACTTTTCCATCAAATATTTATCCAAAAAATTTTACTTTTAAAAGGTTTTAATATTTTGTTGGATTTCCTTTTACTTTTAAAATGTGAATTTAATCTTCTTGGGATGGATTTCGACTAATTTTTTGTGATTTCTGGAGTGATTTTAACCCATTCTTCTTGAAGCACCGATTTTAATTGTTGTTTTGAAGAAATGGTGTGTTTGCGAATTCTTGATTCCAATTCTTACCAAATATTCTCTATGGGATTTAATTGTGGAGACTGTGGGGGTGTTTTTATTATTTCAGGACAGTTATACAGCAGCCAGAGTCTAACGTTCAAAGCACTTTACTTGGGGTCGTTGTCTTGGTAGAATTTAAAATCGTTATGAAGGTTCAATTTTCGTGCTGAAGATTTCAAATTTTGATTTAAAATGTCAATATATTTGTACTGATCCATTATACTGTCAATAAAAACAAGATTACCAACTCCAGCGGACGACATACACACCCATACCATAACTCCTCCTCCACCATGTTTTACTGTTAGCATAAAGTTCTGTTTGCGAAATTCTTCCCTGGGTTTTCTCCACACCAAGATTCTACCGTCGGAACCAAATATATTAAATTTACTCTCATCAGCAAATATAACTTCATTCCAGTAATTAGAATTCTTATTTATGTTGGATTTTGCGAAAGCCAGTCTGAGGTTTCTCTCCATTTCACTTACGAAGAATTTTTTCCTGGCTGCTCTACCGTGATATCCAGTAGATCGAATTACTCTTCTAATAGTCTCAGAATTAACAATTACTCCATATAATGCTTGTAAATCAGCAGCAACTTTAGGAGCACTCATTCTTGGATTTTTTTTTAATATTGCGAATGATAATTCGCTTTATTCCATTGGATAGCTTTGATGGTCGGCCAGGTCTTCCTTTATCCTGAATCCTATGATTCTTTTTATATCGTTTAATGATATTGAAAACTGTTGAATGACTGAAGTTAACTGTTTCAGTAGTTTCTCTAATAGATTTTCCACGTTCAATAGGCAAATTAATAACTAATTTTCGAATTCCAGGCAAACTTTCTTTTTGTTTAGCATTCATGGCTGCACAGAGCTAAAAAACACCAAAATTCCAAAACAAACTGGAGAGAAATACTGCAGACCATTTTATAAATTATTGGCAATTGCTTTTGAGTAAAAATAAATACCCCAAAAGATATTTTTATTGCTTACTTCAGACGATTTTTGTTGCATAGTACGTAGTGTCCCATCACTTAAGTGAGGCATTTTCTGCTCCGTTCTAAACAATTATATTTTTATTAAATTAATATTTTAATATTTTGAGAAAATTTATGTTATGTATTAATTGTTACTAAATTTAAGTATGAAACACACCCACAAAAAATTTTACATGTTTTTTAAATTTATTTTATTGCAGTTTCCTTTTCTAAAGCACAAGTGTCCCATCATTTATTTGAGACACTGTACATTCGTACATACACATGCATACGCACTTACGTACTTGTATACTACATGCATATATGAACGCATACGTCCATATACACATGCATACATACATACATGCCTGAATCCGGTCCCGATAACAGAAGAGTGCCAAATTGTTAATAGCTGTTTAAATAATTCCGATAACAGCTTTTTGATGGAGCATATAGAACACTATCAAGAGAGATGGCAAGAAATAAAAATATTAGTTAATGTGTTTCATGAATGCTGAATTAATTTATAAGTGGACAAATAAAATTATGTGATATGAGCTTTTACAAATATTATTGAATGCAAAGAACATAAAGAAAATGCTATTCAAAATCGAAACTACTTTTGATAGCATAACCGAATTCAGTATTTGTTAATGTTAACGAAGAGCCGTTTTTTTATCACACAATGAAGAAAATCTTTCAAAATAGAAATGGGATTTAACTAATATAATCTAACTAACTAATATCAAGAAATATAGATAAGCATTTTCAAATTTTAATTAAGAAAATGCAAAGGTTTATCAATTGTTTATAATGTCTTAATTGCACTGGAAAATCCCTAAACTTTATTTTCTGGAGGCAGCCCTCATTAGCAGAGTAAAATTCTGAGTTGTGAAAAAAAAAAGCATCCCTGGTTTGTCGTTAGATATTTTGTTAATCTTTGGATTATGGTAACTTGGCGATTTTTTGGCGAAAATTTGGCAGCCAACCCTGCTACAGCAACCCGCTAGTTTTTGTTTGGATGCCATTTTGTTTTCACGAAATAAAGGCAATTTTTTTTTTTTTTTTTTTTTTTTTTTTTTTTTTTTTTTTATTATACTCAAAATTTTTTTCCAACGATCTGCTAGCCGAATTACGCTTATGCTAGAACTTTTATGGAACAAAAGTACTTAATCGTGACCAAAATTAGGTGCGAAATTGGGAGAAAGTGCAGAATCGCAAACTGCTTACCGCGTTTTTAAGAATTACACATACACGGAATCCATGTACACGTCGACCTATTTTCACTTAAAAAAACATCCTAGAATTGCACAAAAATGGCATTGCGCACACTCTTGACTTTATCCATGTACACTGCTAAAGTCCTAGCTAGTAACCTTTATCGCCTTACCAAAATGTCGCCAAACTACCTGTTACCATATTCCAAAGATTAGCCGATATTTTTAAGAATTTTTTTTTTGGAAGATGAAATAAGAAATTCTGCAGATTCTTTTTTATTTCTTTTCTTTTTTTTTTTTTTTTTTTTTTTGTTATTATTGTCCCTGAAGGAAGACTTGTATCTGATAAACCTAAAAACGATATAGCTATTCAAAATATACGTAGAACTAAGACTATTGTTTGCTAATTTTAAATTAGAATGTTTGGCGGCTCAACCAACTTACTTCGGGATATTTTTCTGTCACTAAGGAACTTTTATAACTATTTTGACCCTATTTAGCGAATTTACTTTCTACTTGGTGACATTATTTTAGTTTAAAAATTTATTCTATAAGAGTTTTATTTTATTCATTGTACTGTTCATCACAGTAACAGAAGTACTTTTCATGTTTTCGTTTACAAGCGGGGCCCACCAGCGGCAAGCGGTAACGTCGCTGAACACTGGTAATTCGGTCCGGGGTTCGAATCCCGCGAACGGGCTGGCTGCATGGGTGTTTTCCACCAACATATGCGATCCAAACGTATATCCAATTTGTAGTACATGCAATTGATCCGGTATACATACCATATAAGTCAATCAATATCTGCATTTCGAATTAAGCATATTAATTCTATAACAATCTGTATTATGTAACGCGCATAACCCGAAATTTGTATTATGAAGTATGTACTTGTATCACAAAGAGTGTAGGTGACTATAATGTATCTGCGATTTGTATCATGTATTATGCAAGATCTGTATTATGTTTAACAATCTACATTATGTACTGTGCATAATCTATTTCAATCACTATCTGCATATCAAATTAAGCGTAATATCTCCATAACAATCAGTATTGTGTATGGTATATTAATCAGTATTAAATAATCCTAAGTACTCTGTACCAGTATTGTCCTACTCACAGTGCACTATGTATCCTGTATGTATGCAGTTAATTTGTATTGCGCATTATGCACCTCCATAAGATATGTATCATGTATAGTATATTAATTAGTTTTAAGTAATCCCACGTATCATGTAACAGTATTGTCCTACGCACTATGTATTCTGTATGTATGTTGTTTATCTGTATTATCTGCATTATGTACTTGCAATCTGTATTATGTACACCATGTACTCTGCATGTATTTAATTTTCTCGTAATTGCGTAATTTGTGCATTATGTGTTCCATGTCATATTTTTAATTAATTTTAATTTGTATATTAATGTTATATGTAACTTCTGTTTGTAATATTTATATATAACATATGTACTACGTTCCCACACAATATCTTACATCAGTTATAGCCCCTGTATGGCCATGTAACAAATTTATTTAAGATCCAAATGAACTCCCGGGCAGCCTCCTGGGGCTCCAGGGAGTTATTGTTTCTAGATAGTGGAGGGCGCAGGACATAAGCCTGTTTACCTATGTTAAACACCAGGCGTCCCCGTCCTCCGTAACATGTAACCTGCGTGACGTGTATACGAGCCAGATTCCCTTAAAACGTCCTCCACGAAGGCATCCCTCCCGTAAGGCAGATAGCCCTCGAGTGCTTTGCCGTACTCTAATAAACCAAACCAAGCCGTTTACAAACGGGGTTGGCTTCCCCGAATCGATAAAAATATCCGAATGATTACCGGTATCACAACGTCTACCGTAGTATCTTGAATATCAAGTTAGCGTAAATAATTTAAGTAAATTTTTTTGTAATAAAAGTAAAGCCCTTTAACTTT